AAAATGGGGCGCGCGGGCGTGGATCATGGAGGTGCGGGCGATCTCCATGACCAGGCCTAAGCGGCGCTCAGCAACCCCATTCTGCTGTGGAGAGTCTGGAAGAGTCCAGGACTGGGTGATGCCCTGCTCAGCACAGAATCTGGCGAGAATGCCGGAGCGAAACTCACCCCCACGGTCGGAGTGGAGACAACTGACACGACGACCACGAGTGCCCTCGGTGGCGAGCAGCCACCGGATCAGCGTAGAAGTCACGTCGGACTTCTTCGCCAAAAGGGAACACGGTGGTGTACCGAGAGAAATCGTCAACGACCACCAGAAAGAAACTCTCCCGCTTAGGGCCAAGGCGGGAGGCGGGGCCCCAGACGTCTAAGTGGAGTGTCTGGAAGGGCTCGGTGGCCGGACGAAGGGAGGAGGAGTGAGGGGTGGCGCGAAGCCGACCCTGGACACAAGGACCGCACGGAGGAGCTGGGGACGGCGGGAGTGGCGGGAGGACTCGGGGGAGGCCTAAGACAAGACGCTGACTGGACATGGCGCGCAGACGAGGAAGGGACGGGTGCCCCATCCGGTGGTGCCACAGAATGGTGGGGTGGGCAAGCGACCGACACGAGCACGACGCAGCAACTACACCTGACACAGCAACCTGACTGGACCCGGCTACCTGGTGGGACGGGGGAACCTGACGGGGGTCGGTGCGGAGGGTGTACAGACCAGAGCCCGGCTCCTGGCGGAAAGTAGCCAAGGGGGCGTACGTGTCACCGTCGACGCAGACAGCGGTGTCACCAGAAGGCTCAACCCAGACACCGACGTGCTGTCTCGCCAAGGTGCCCACACCAACCAGGTTCCTAGAGAACGTAGGAACGTGGAGGCCGGTCAGGGAACCAGAAGGAGCAGCTGGGCACGGGAGAGTAGTGGCGTGAGTCGCAATGACCGGTCCCGAGGAGGGATCGGCCAGTGCTACAGGGACAGGCGCCGGTAGCGGAGAAAGAGTCGTGCAGTCGCGGAAGAAGCAGTGCGACGCTCCTGAGTCCAGTGTGAAGGAGAGAGACGTGTCCGCCGAGGGAGTACCTGTACTAGTAGCTAATCAAGATCCTACACTAGCACCTACTCTAGCAACAGGCAAAGATCCTAAGCTAGGTACAGGCAAGTACACAGATCCAGGAGCACTATAGTCAACATCAGCATACATGGCATAAGACCTAGCATCATCCATAGTCATATCAAAAACAGCAATACCACGAGCAAGCAGCGTCCCCCAGCGTGGCGGCGGGGGAGCGAAGGGGCCGTGGTGCAAGCGGTAGAGGTCGTCGAGACGACTGAAGCAGCGTGCAGCAGAGTGGTCGGGGCGGCCACAGTACGTGTCCCAACGAGGACCCGTAAGGATCCAGTACTCACAGGGACCAACGTCGCGGCCGGCCGCGCGAGGTCCCCGACTGGAGGGGGCGCCACCGCGCCCAGTGCTCGGGGGACCCGCAGACCTCCACTGCTGCGGAGGGCCCCACTGCTGCGGAGGGCCCCACTGCTGAGGCTGCTGCTGCGGTAGGCGCTGCTGCTGGCCCTGTCGCTGCTGCTGCTGCTGTCCCTGCCGCTGCTGCTGTCCAGGCGGTGGCAGCTGCTGAGGAGTCGGCTGCTGCTGCTGCTGCTGGAGCCCCTCACCACCAATGGAAACTCCACCGTCGAAAGGAGGGCCGTCAGGTCCCGAGCCACCCCCACCACCACTCCCACCACCTGCTCCACCGCCACCGCCACTACCCGCACCACCTCCAGTACCCCCGCCGCCCTTCCCGCCCTTCTTGCCGGCCTTGCCACGTTTCTGTCCGCCAGAGACAGAAACAGCCGCCGTCTCCTCGGAGGCAGAAGACGTGGGAGTGGCAAGGGAGGCAGAGAAGGTGGGAAGCTGTGGTACCGCACACCCCTCAAAAAGACGAGGAGGAGGCGCGGAAGAGGCAGAGGCAACGGTGAGGAGGTTACTCTCGATCTTCGAGAGAGCAGTCTCAAGAAGGTCGATGGTAAGCTCAGTGGGGTGCTTCAGAAGAAGCGCATCGCGGGCTGTGGCTAGGCGGTCAGGGAGGCGAGTGACTAGCCAGTGAATAGTGAGCCACATAGGGGGCGGGGCAAGGGCAAGCTGGTCCTCAGTGCAAGCAGCGAGAAAGCGAGCGTCAAGGGAGCGCAGGTGAGTAGCGAGGTCAGAGACAGTCTCAAAGGAGGCGAGGTCAGGGTAGATAAAGGGTACGAGGAGGCGACTGAGCGACGCAGAGGAGGGAGTAGAGTAGCGAGCAACAATAGCCTTATACAGATCTGCAGCAGACTCGACCTGAGCGAAGTGGACTGCCTCTGTCGGCGGGAGAAGGTCGGTCAGGGCGAGGCAGGCAGCGGCGTCACGAGACTCCCACACGTCGCGAGCGAGGAGCTGGCGCTGGTACTCGGCCTCCTGCTCAGGAGTAGGCGGTGGGGTAGTGGGCAGCGGGCAAGGCTGCTGGGGAGCGGTCTGAGTACCGGATGCGTGGGCGAACAAGTGCACGCCATCCTGCCGCTGGCTCTTAAGGTGGCGCTGCGCCTGCGTAAGCCACGTGCTAAAATCTATAGGTCGCCCTTCAGGGTCGAAACGAAGTACTCGGGAGATCGCCATAGAGGGCGAGACTGAGAGAGCGCGGCTGCCAGCCGCGGGAGGGGAGAGACAATCAGTAACGTGTGGGCAGGCGGGGAGGCATGTAGGTGAGCGGCGCAGTGCGCTGTCTGGTGGGCAGCGCGGTACGCTGGCTGGTGGGCGGCGCAGTGCGCTGGGTGGTGGGCGGCGCGGCGCGCTATGGGGCGTGCGGCACGGCGTACTGAGTGGCGGGCGGGCTGCGCAGCCGGTCGACGGGCGGGCGACGCGGCGCGCGGGCCTACGGGCGGCGCGGCGGGTCGACGAGCGGGCTGCGCAGCTGGTCGACGGCGGGCGACGCGGCGCGCGGGCCTACGGGCGGCGCGACGGGTCGACGAGCGGGCTGCGCAGCTGGTCGACGGCGGGCGACGCGGCGCGCGGGCCTACGGGCGGCGCTGCGGGTCGACGAGCGGGCTGCGCGGCCAGGCGACGGGCGGGTCGACGGGCGGGCTAGGCGACGGGCGGGCCTGCGGGCGTTCTAGGCGACGGGCAGGCCTACGGGCGGGCTGCGCGAGCCTACGGGCGGGTGGCGCGGTGGCTAGGGTTTAGGCCGCGCTGCAGGTCGACCGGCGGCGTGGCGCGTTAGGGGGCAGCTGGCTGGCTGGCTGGCGGCTTAGGGCTTAGCGCACTAGCGCGCTGGCGTGTGTGGCGAGCTAGGGAAGGAACGAAACCCTAAACCTAGGGCATAGGAGCGAGGAACCTAGCTGATACCATCTTAGAAAGTAGCTACAGCGGAATGAGTAGGATTGATAGGGTTGGGGTACACATGCCTAACCCTAACTGCTTGTACCCCATATAGCATGACCCACAACAGGGTATAACATTTGACAGTGTGGACATGTGTGTGTGTGTGCGCACGCCGGGCCAAGTGCGTGGGCGTGGTCGTGTGCGTGTGCATGTGCGCGCGCGGGTGCGTGTGTGCATGCGTGTGTGCGTGTGTGGGTGGGTGTGTGTGTGTGTGCGCGCGCGCGCGCGCACGCGTGCGTCGGTGTGTGTGTGTGCATGAGGTTCTGTGTGTGCATGTGAATCTGTGTGGGCATGTACACGTGTGCACGCTCACGTGTGGGACATGCACGTGCATGTGTGTGTGCGTATGCGGGTGGGTGCGTGCGAGCACGCGCATGCATGTGTGCGTCTGCCCATGCGCCAACGTGCTGTCCGTCATACCTGTGATTCAATCAAATGTGCTTGCAGAGGGGAGCGGGAGCGCCAGCGCGACCTTTAGTACGCAATCTACAACAACTCTCTTTAACATCTACCAGAGATTCTGACACATACGTCTTCTCCCTCTCTCCTCTTCCCGTTGTCGTACCAGACCCCTTCTAGTGACCGTACATGGCAACCAGCTCCCTAGCCTACACCACATGCTATGACAGGATAGCATGTGCCAGGGTGGCACTGGCGCCTACGGCTGCAACACGGAGGGCAAGCCAGATTCCCCCTCTCCAATCCCTGATCGTCTCTAGAGCCATCACTTCTTCCCTTGTTCGTCCCTCCAAGCTCCACCCCCATCCCTCATTTCTCCCCTGGTCTTCTTCCGCCCTCTGGCTCTCCCTCGATTACTCCCCACACGCCAACATATCAGGTGCTGCTGCGACCAAGCCCACCATTCTTCCTGCACCATCGCCGCCTCCAATCTCCCTCCCAATGCTGCATCTGCCAGATTGTTCTTCACAATGGGAAACATCAAGTCTTGGACGGGATAGCTGCGCGTCCAACAGTTCACCTGAAAGGTGCCGTCTCCCTTCATCTCTTACCAGCTTTTTAGTCCTTCCAGAGGTTTGAACTTGATTGAAGGTCTGATAACCATCATGGTGTAGTGAATTGTCAAGATTGTGATGTCACATTAGACTGAGATTCAGTCTGAGAATTCAGCCCAAACTTAGATCTCGGTCATACCTGATGAAATAGCTACTATTTTAGTGTAGTTAGTATCTTCTGCCGGATAAAATAGGCCCTGGCTGGTCCCTGGACCCAGTTCTACTTTGATAGGGCCTATTTTACCCTCGGCTTGTGTCCCAAACTGCGGAGCGCGAGGGTGTCCGTTCAGATCCTCACCATGATACCGTAAGAACTTGAGTTAGAAGTTACACATTCACCTCATGTTTCTCCTTTTCATGGTAAGGAATGTAATACGACCTCAATCTTTACGTACTATGTGGGTATTTATAGGTGTAATCAAATAGAACATCTGCGGAGGAAGCAGCTGAACCTAAAACCATTCCTCTCGCCCATCAGCCGTTGCCATGATGACGCAGCGCAGCAGCGCATCAAGCCAAGATGGAAACAGCTGATGCACGAGATGTCTGCAATGCCAGACGTTGCTGGCCGAAACCCTCACTACTAGTACGCGCTAGATTCAAACGTCGCCAGGGGTCAAGGAGGTGGAGATGATGTGCAGCGCAAAGTGTTTGGTGATATAGAAGTTGGGATAGACGACCACAGCGGGGAGAATGTCCGAGCCGCCCTTGAGAACCACGGTGGGCAGGATCCTGCCGGACAGCTTGGTGACCTTTCCGCCCTCGTATGTCGGGAACTTGGTGAAGCGCGCGGCGTTGCGGAGCTTTCTCTTGCCGTACACGCCCTTGAGCATGTGGTAGCGCGCCACGCTCCTGCGCTCGCCCGCGGAGAAGCGCCACCAATTGCGCACCACTTTGAGCGGGTTTATCGGCTGCAGGACCGTCACAGGCGTTGCCTTGGCGGTTCCGTTCACCCGCTTGATGGTTCGGACTGCAATGCGGGTCGGGAACAGCACACGCATAGGGGATATCAATCAGCTCAGCTGTCAGTAATGCGTTTCTGAAGTCAGTGAGGGCGTAAGCGCGACTAAAGTTGAGAGAAAAATCCGCGGATTACTTACAGAACCTCTCGAGGATTGGGGCTGACTTGGCATAAGGAGACGCTCGGAGGGTAGAGAGTGCTTTGTCAACATCCTCTGAGCTGATGCTTACAGAGTCGTCAATCGTGGCCCCGTCCACGGCAACAGCGACAGCCAGGAGGGCGGCGACGAGTAGGATTTGGACAGAGTTCCTCATCGCATTAACCAGCGGAAAAGCAGGGCTGGAATGAAAGGGTAGGCCCAGTAATGATCTTTTCTTTGTCGGAGTGAAGGCTAGCTTGAACGGTTATCGAGAAGAAATGATTTGGGGTATTGAATTGGGCTACGATGGACAACCTTTTGAACTGGATTTCAAAGCGCATTTCAGAATTTCAGCGACCGAATGTAGGAATACGGCTCGGGCACACCAGCGGTGAGTGACCACATTGAGGTCAAGCGACAGATTCGCGTTTTGTCTTGTCTCCCGGCGACGAGACTCGTGAAAAAACTGATTGGCTGACGCTGTATGCGAAAGCTGAGAAAGCACTCACGAAACAGCGCGAGCCATTGACGGTTCGCAAACGGTGATGTGGATTTCCACGCTTCACAGAAGCCTATCCACCTCAAATCACCGACCTAACAATATTTCGAGAAAAAAAAAGTGACTGGTCAAATGTGCGTTGTAAGGTCGGATTTTGTAATCAAACAATTCAATGAAGATACATCACCACGGCGGTCACTGTCTTACTGCACAAAAAAGGAAAGAAAGATCAGTTAGGGAACTACAGACCCATCACGCTCCTGAACACGGTGTACAAGGTGCTGGCGAAGCTGCTGGCAAACAGGCTGAAGAAAGAACTGCACCTGGTGATCTCAGAGGGACAACATGGTTTCATACCAGGCAGGTGCCTGGCGGATGCGGTGTCAGTGGTAGCGGACGCGGTTGAGGCGGCAGGGAATGGAGGAGAGGACTGGTACCTCCTCATGGTCGATTTTCAGAAGGCATATGACACAATAGCAAGACCATACCTGTTCGAAACCCTTCGCAAGCTTGGAATACCGGAACAGTTTGTGAGGTGGACGGAAGGGCTGCACCGAGGCTCCGGCGCGACGATTGCGATAAATGGCTGGGTCAGCACCCGGGTGGAGATGCAGAGAGGGGTGCGACAAGGCTGTCCGCTGGCACCATATTTGTTCCTGTGCGCTCTGGAGCCGCTCTGCCTGGAGATTGGGAGGAAAGGACTGGGGGTGAAGCCAGAGGGGGGTACAGCACTTACGTACATAGGTTACGCCGATGACACAACACTAATCCTCAAAGGGGAAGACCAGTTGAGATCAGCGGTGGAGATTCTGGAAAGGTTCGGCGACCTGTCGGGGCTACGGACAAACAAAGGAAAGTCGGTGGTGGTCCCGCTGGGGAGGAACAGAGGAAAGCAATCAGCGGACGGGGTAGATTTCAAGTGGGCCGAGGATGGTGTACCAGAGCGGCTACTGGGCATCTGGATCTCTGCGGACGGGGACGGCGGGCCATCCTGGGAGAAGGCATGGGAGCGAGGGAAGGGGGAACTGGTCAAATGGGAAAGCCACCATCTCCTCACGGCGGCAAGGGTAACGGTGATCAACGCGTACATAATGCCGATCTTTATCTTCCAAGCGCAAGTATACCCACCACCGGAGGAGCTGTGGAAGCGGATACAAAAAACATGTGATAACTATGTCTCAAGCGGGCAAGCCACGGCGGACAAGCAGTTCGTGTTGTGGAGCGGGGAGCTAGCCCGGTTACCAAAGAAGGAGGGAGGTCTGGGCCTGATCGACCCCAAGGCGAGAATCGACAGTATGGCAATCAGGATGGTGGCGAAAATGCTTGCGGAGGAAGGAGGCACCAAGAAATGGCTAGCAGAGAAGGCGGCGGCGCTGCCACAGGGTGAAGCGACGCTCTTCGCAGACCCGTCAGTGGCAAAACACTGGCCAGGAGGGAGCCAGCGGTGGAAGGCAGCGGTTGAGGCCTTCTGGGAGTCTCCATATGCTGACAATCCGGAGCCGGGGAACACATGGGAGGTCGGTCAGGAAAAGCTGTGTTTCAACCGCCGCGTCATGTTCAGAGAGAAAAGCCCGTACGGGAATCAGCAAGGGATGGAGAAAATCCACACAGCGAAACTCGAGGACCTGGTTGAGGAGGGACTGGGAGGAGAACGGAAGGTTAAAAGCAAGGAAACTCTCTCGGCGGAGTTGGGGAGCGTAGCGGCGGCAAGATGGGCGCTGATGGCATATGCGGCAACGCCACAGGAGTGGAAAGTGCTGCTAACGGCAAGCAAAACAGCGGCTAAAGTGGTCGAGGTTGCAAAAACAGTGAGGACATACCTCCCCAGAGCACAAGCTCACCAATACTGGGAGGTAAACGGAGCAACAGACGGGAACGTGGCAGTGACGAGCCTGAGGCAGACGGAGGGAGCGAGGCTGCAGGAAAGGGAGCGGCCGATCAGGGCGGTTTTCAGAGTGACAAGCGTGGAGCCGGTGGTCACCAGAGGAGGCAGAGTACTGGGGGTGATGGGCGCACCAGATACAAAACTGAGGCAATCAAAACTTCTGGAAGAGGATGGGACGCCAGCAAGGATCAAGAAGATCAGACGAGAACTAACGGGACCTACAGCGGCCTCGAGGAAGAGGAGGGAATGGGAGGAAAGGTGGGGGCGGAAAATTGACTGGAGGAAGGTGGAACGTAAGAGGGAAGCATCGACAATCCCAAGCAGGGCAAGGGATGTGTTACTAAGGATACACAGTTTGAACCTTCAAGTGGGCGGCAGGCTGAATTTCCTGGGGGAAAGGGCGAATTGCTCACACTGTGGGGAGCATGAAACCCTAGAGCACTGCATGTTCGACTGCTCGGTGGTACAACCTGTAATCGGCGCGCTGCTGAGATCGCTAAGGCTTCTGGATCATTCGAACGTTCCAGCTTCGCTGGGAGAAGTACTGTTTGGAGGAGGAACAGGGTCAGGGTTCCCATCAACGACGCTGGTGGCAACAACCTTCCGACACATCTGGCTGGCAAGGTGCAACATGGTGTGGAGAGGGGAGGCTTTTCAGCGGAAAAAGGTGGCGAGGGGGGCAATTCGAGACTTTATGCTACATGCACAAATCTACCGCACAGGGCTGACACGCAGGGCGCGGAAGATGGGTACAGCAAAGCAGGGGAAGGACCCGTGGCGGGATCTGGGTAAAGATGAGAGAGCTGCCGTAGCCCGACTCAGCGCACCTGGCGACACTGCCACGTGGAATGACGAGTTTCTATCCATTTGGCGCAACCCCAGGACGATCAGGCAACCCCCCTAGACGGCCTGCAGGAGGGGGGCCCCGGTAACATTAAGGTGTAGCCAGGGCTAGTCCTCTCCAGTAATCAGTTACGACTGAGAATGTATGCACTACTATAGTGTAATAACATTCACCAAAAAAAAAAAAAAGAAGATACATCTGTGGTTGTGTGAATAGGATAGCATTCATGAGCCAGCAATTTCCCTCAGCAACCAATTTGCACTTGTAAGAACCATACATAGCCGACAATCCACATATGAAAGAGATAACGACAACAAACAAACTGGCTTTCACTAACCAGACAGCGTTCCACAAATACCCCTTCAAAACCTTCAACCCCATTCATTGTTTGTGGCCCACCCACCTCACAATCATGGCGTCCCTACCTCCCAGCTGTTTGTGCAGAGCCATGTGCCTGACACAAGATCTTAGCCTTAGTCATCCTTGGCTTCCATTGGGCCCACCTTGCGGGGGCCATTGTCAGCAGGCTTGTTCTGCTTGCCAGTGATGCGTTCACCAAGGTTCTTGAAGAAATCCTTGATTGCATTCGCCGTCCTCTTCAGAACCCCCGGCTTCTTCTCTTCCTTCTTTTCCTCGGTTTTCTTCTCCTTCCCCTGGTTATCGTTGTCGGCAGCTAACTCACGTGGAAGCTCAATCACTTCTTCCTCCTCTTCCACGTCTCCGCCCTCTACCAGCACTCTGCCTTTCTCGCTATCAATCTCCTCCTCGGCCTCCTCGATCTCTTCCATCCCCTCATCCTCCTCTCCCTCCGCAAGCAGCCTTCCCTCCTCGCTCTCCTCGCTTTCCTCGCCGTCCCCCCCCTCCTCACGCCCGTCGCTCATGCTCTCCTCCGCCAGCATACGCACCTCCTCCTCCCCCTCCTCCTCACCCTCCTCCCTTTGCACCTCTTCCGCCGCGCTCTCATCCTCCCCCTCCTCCGCGCCCTCCTCCGCGAGGCTCCTTCCCTCCGCGCGCTCCTCGTCGTCCGCCTCCCCCTGCGCCTCATCATCCCCCCAGCCTTCGTCCCCCAGCGCCCACCCGTCCTCCATCTCCTCGGCCAGATCGACCTCGCCTTCTTCCTCCTCTGCCAGGCTCCTACCGCCTCTCTGCTCCTCACCCTCTCCCCATTCAAGCTCCTCCCCTTCCGTTGCGTCATCTTGAAGCGCCACGCGAGGCCCGGCCGCTGACGGTTCCGACTGCACAGGAGTATTGGACGCGGACGGCTCCTTTAAGCCCTGGCTCTGCTCCTCCTGAGCGGTCTTTGCCGCAGGAGCGCGCTTAGTCGTAGCAACTGCGCCAGTGCGGTTCACCTTGGGCGGCTTTGGAGACTCCGCGTTGAGCGGCATCTTGTTGAAGTTGGTCAGGCCTGGTCCGTACGTGTTAGACGGGGTCCATTTCGCGGGGATGATCTTATCGAGGACGATCTTCTGCCCCGTTTTCGCGGCGGTGACGCGGACACTGATGGGCTTTCCCGCCCGCGCAATGTCCTTGTGGCGGAGCAGCTGCCACGTGGTGGTGCGGCCTTCCCTCGTCAGCGCCGTCCACTTGCTGCCGTCGACCGACACCTCAACGAGCCGCACAGCGCCGGGCCCCTTAGTGCCGAGCAGCTGCAGGCGGAAGCGGTTCTTATTGGACGCCGTGCGCACGCGCACAAACAGCCCGCTGGGGCTCTTGCAGTTGGTGCGCTTGACCTTGACCTGCACGGCGCGCCCGTCGCGCGAGCTCGCGATGCGGTCCCACGCCTGCGTGGAGAGCACGAGGCCGCGGTGCAGCGTGAACCATCCGACTGATCCCACCACGCGCACCGTCACCGTCGCGTTGTTCTTCTTGCATCTGTCGCCTCCCGCGCACTCCACGGCGTAGCACGCGCCGCACGTCTTGCCTTTCTTGTACAGGTTGCTGGGCAGCAGCGCGGTGAGTCCGTTGGAGAAGTACGGCGCATCCGAGAAGTATCCGCACGATTGCGCCAGGCTGTTCACGCGCGGGCTGGACTTGGCGCGCAGTTGCCCGTCGGGGAGCTTCTTGCCGGCCACGAGGTTCCTCAGCGCATCGAAGGAGAAGTCGGGGAAGGTGGGCGCGGGGAAGAAGATCGCGGTAACCGGAGCCGCGAGCAGAGGCAGCAGCGTTGCGAGGAAGAGCAGCAGCAGCGGCGAACTCACGCGCACGCCTCCAGGGCGGGCCATACTGGCGGAAGGTTGCGGCTGACTGGGATCAGCGGGTAAGGCTGGGGTTGCTGGTTGCACGTCGGGACAGCTTGGCTAGCTCGATCACGCGTGTGGCTTGAATCTGCGGAAATGCTGCAATTGGAAACGGACTACCTTCTAAAAAACAGTCCGTGGTGAAGGAAACGAACAGGCGATGCTTTTTCAAAGCCAGGAGGACTTCCTTTTATGGTTGTGGATCGCGGCGATGGTGGTGGGCTTGCCTAACTTGAGAATGAAGCGGCTACCGTGGCTACGGCCTGAAAGGACCGGAAGTTGCGGAGAGAGCGAGTGTGTTGCGGGACAGCCGGAGAATGCGTTGCCGCGATAATTGCCTGGTCAACCCTTGGAAGTATTGGAGAAATGCCATGGAGCAAGTTTCTGACAGGGTGAGAGAGACTTCGCGCTGCTGACTAGAACCTCATCGAGTCGCTCGTATGCGTGTTGGTGGTGAGGTGAGCATATTGTGGTTTGGAAGACGGTGACGGGGCGCACAATTATATGATTCCAGTGGGCATTGGTTTGGAATAAAACCAAGCACTACTACTCGCGAAGAACGGCAGGGTAACGCTCATTTTTCGCTCATACCGACTAATCACCTCAAACGATTTCTCATGGCAAATTACGAGCAGCAATGTGTTACAATGTCTCGGAATCGTAGTCGAGGCGACTTTCGCGAGGTGGTAACGGACAACAGTTGGGTGTAAAAGATGTGGGGATAGTTCTGTACGCGGTATGCGGTGTGAAGCTAAGATAGGGAACTTCCTTACAATAACAAACACTAAACCAGTCTATCATCAACGTTCAATATTGATAGGTTTGGTGAATGTTTTGTGTCTTGAAATTTGCGCGGGAACGCTGGACTTCTGCCGCCCGCCGATATGCGTCTGCTGACTGGATTGAATTAGCCCGCGCATTGTTGCCGTGGGTGGGCGCTGCGCTGCAGGGAAAGAAGGGGATGCGAATGCTCAGCCTGCCATCGCATGCGGTTCGTCAATCGCTCAGATGGGCTCCTTCGGCACGCATTACATTGCCAGGTTCGACTTTTAGAAGGGGTAAAAACGGTTCTGTAGGTTTCAAACGCAAAACTCCTGGTACAGTGCGGTTTTTTATATTGGACGATCAATCGTTATTTGTGACGCGTGCTCGAAACTTGAGTCACGAGGAATTGCGGGACTGTGAGATGGATGCGACACAGAACACACACACGAGAAGGGTTGAAGAGAGCAAAAAGAGTTTAGGCACCGAACACCATTATTAGAGTACCCTGTGTTTTCTGAGAAATTAGACACGATGGCAGAGACATATAGATTCGAGCCTTTAATTTTCATTGTAGTCCTTGTAAACTGCCTCTTAGGGTGCGCGGCGCAGTCGCCATGGAGTTGCGACATCTCGCAGGGGAAGTGGGTGGCGGACAGCGCGCTACCGCTCTACACGGGCAACTCGTGTCCCTACATCCGCACATCGCAGAACTGCCTCAAGCAGGGCCGCCCGGACATGTCGTTCCAGAAGTTCCGCTGGCAGGTGCGTCCGTCGGCCAGTGATCGTACGTCGGTTACTGATCGTCTGTCGGTTAGTGATCGTACGTCGGTTACTGATCGTCTGTCGGTTAGATATCGTCCGTCGGTTAGTGATCGTCTGTCGGTTAGTGATCGTCCGTCGGTTAGTGATCGTCCGTCGGTTAGTGATCGTCCGTCAATTAGTGAGCGTCCGTCGGCCAGTGTAGCTATCTTGGTATCACCCACCCCGCGGGCCGCGCACGTTCACGCTCTCTCTCTCTCTCGCCTGCCCGCTGTGCTCTCTCAAACCCTTCCAGCCCAAGGGGTGCTCTGTGAAGCGCGTGTCGCCGCGGGGGTTGGCGGAGCTGTTCCGCGGCAAGCTGGTGGTGGTGTTCGGCGACTCGCTCTCCAAGAACTTCGCCGCGTCGCTGCAGTGCATGCTGTACGCCGCCGACTCTGCCGCCGCTAAGTCGTACCGCCTCGCGCAAAACAAAACCGCCGAGTGGGGCGTCGAGGTACGTGCGAGACTGTCAGCCGTTGAGACGCCGTACGCTTGAAACACACTCAGCCGCCTATGCATGCGCCGTCACGCTGCGCTGCGACTCCCATGCCGCCATTGCCCACACCTCGCCATCTGATTGACGCATCCGCCCGCCATCTCATTCTCTCTGTGGCCGCCGTGTGGCCCGGCGACGTGTGCGTGCGCAGTTCCCGACGTACAAGATCCGGTTCGTGTCCGTATTCTCCAACTGGCTCAACAACGCCTCCAGCCTGCCCGACAAGAACGGCATCGAGCAGCACCGCATCGATTTGGACGGCCTGGATCAGCGCATCAAGGACGTGCTGCCCATCGCTGACATCGTCATCTTCCAGGTACGCCCGCGCCCAGCCCCGCTTACACGCCCTCGCATCCGCGTCCGCACTCGCACCCGCGCCCTCGCAATCGCGCCCAGCCTCGCATCCGCGCCCAGCTTCGCATCCGCACCCAGCCTCGCATCCGCGCACGGCCCCGTTTCCGAGCCCATCCTCGCGCCTGACGTCGCGTCATACCGCCACAGCTCCGCTCGGCACAAAACACAGCGTAGGAATGAGAACCCATAGCGGGCCTTCTTCGAGCTTCCAAATTCCACTTCTCTCTCCTCCCCTCCCATCGCCCCCCGTGCTGTGCGGCGCAGGCGACGGCGTGGTGGTTGCCGCCCATCAACCGGTGGTACGTGGGCGGCGCGGAGGTGACGATGAAGGCGACGGCGGCGTACGAGCGCGGGCTGACGACGCTGCGAGACTACGTGGCGAACAGCACCCGCGGCGGCAAATTCAAGGGGCGCGCCGTGGTGATGGGCGTGTCGCCGTCGCACTACAATCTGCCCGTGCCAGGCGTGAAGAAGGGCAAGTGCAACGTCACCTCCATGCTCACCAGCGCGCAGGTGCGGGGGGGGGACGCAGGTGGGGAGCGCAGGAGGGTAAGGGGAGAGCCGACGGGAGGGGGAAGAGTGGGTCGGAGAGGGAAGCGCGGGCGGGCGGGGGAAGCACGGGTGGGAGGGGAAAGAGCGGGAGAGATGGGGAAGTGGAGGGGTGGGAGAGGGGGAAGCACAGGTGGGAGAAACAAAACTGAGGGAAAAAGAGGGATATGAAAACCAATCTTTGAACAAGAAAGGAGCTCCGAGGAGAGTTGTAGTCATTTCCCACAATACGTCATTCAACCTCCATTCCAAATGACTCTGCCTTGCCTCCATTCCAACCTGCCTACACAGACGGCGACTGTGCGAGGCGGCGACGGCGCGACGAGTGAGCTGCGGGCCATCCAGCAGCGTGTGCTGGGGGGGTCGGCGGTGGTGTACGTGGATGTGAAGCCCATGAGCGACTGGCGCCCCGATGCACACATCCAGAACTGGAGCGTCAAAGGTATAATGAAGACGCATTGGTATGCTGAAACTTCAAGGCATTGGGGCTGGCCAAGGGAATAGTGGAGAGCTTTGGTTTGCTGCTTGGCTGCCTTATTGAAACAATCTTTTGGGGACATACCGTATTTTGCAACCTAATTGATTCTTATCTCCTGATTTGCCACAGGGGGGGCGCCGGATACAAAGAAGAATGACTGCCTTCATTGGTGTGAAGGAGGAGTTACTGATGCATGGGCGGAAATGCTCTTCAACAAGCTCCAATAAACAGAATCTCCTGCCTGTGAACAAACGTAGAACATACCGTATGACAAACCAGTTTCTGCGTTTAACGATGAGATGAAGTACCGAACCCCCCCATGTGAGAGACTATGTAATCTGGGTGAGTCTAGATGAATTGGATTGGAGGGGAGTGGGAGCTTCAGTTTTGCCAGTTATTGATGAATGGTTACAGGCTGACGAGGAGGGAAATCCTTGTGCCAAATAGACATGTGAAGGGCATGATGTCGATTAAATACCGTAAGAGCCAAACAGCAGCATTCTCCATGCAAATGATTGCGCCCTTGCGCTTATGATATCCAACCATACAATTTTCTACATTGGCTGATGGATCAGCCTAGCCCAAACCAAAATGGGCCCCTGGGATGGGAAACGATTGCGTAGCTTACCGTAAGACTGGCTTGAGCTCAGCACCCAACCCAACAGAATACTACAGTACTACAAGGGGAGCTTTCACCTTGGCACAGTCACCTGCAGCCACTCTCATTCACCACATGCCCCATGCCATGCCCAGCCATGTCAGTCTGAAATACGACAAAAGACTTCACACCTTAAGGGGGAGGGGGCGGGAGACTATCTGGCGCCAGCACACCCTTGAGCTCGGCACCCCACGTGGCACCAGAGGAGGAGCTTGCAGCCAGCACAGCAAACCCTGTCACAGTAAGCGGCTCACCCATGTTGCCAGAGCCCTTGCCAGCGCCCTTACCAGCACCATTCTTGCCACCAGGGTTCTTCTTCGCCCCCGCGGCCTTCCCAAGGGACTTGAACAAATCAAACAGCATCCTCCCCTGAACGCCGCCACTCTCCATGCCCTTGCGCCGGTTCCCGGAAGCTCCACCGGTGGAAGTAACTCCACTATCCAGAATGCTGGGAATCGCGGCGAGCAGGGTTGTCACCGTAGCAGAATCCGCGTTTTCCATAAATCCGTCGAGGCGCATTTCGGAGTGCAGCAGCCACCAGCCAGAGTGGACGATCCAGTCGGTGCCAGCGACGGGAAGGGAGAGGAAAGAAGTGGCCGCAGCGTCGCACGCAGCGCCCTGGGTGATTGCGAGGGAGTCGGGCGGGCCTCCAGTGGCGTCCACCAGCATGGCCTGGAATAAAATGTTGTAGTTGCCACTGTCGTTCCTGACACACACAGAGGGGAGGACAAATACACAAGGGAATCACAGGTACGGTGGACAGGAAGGTAGGTGTGTGTGTGGGGTCCACAAATGAAAAAGGGCATTATTTGTTTGTGCGTAAAGAAATCGTCTGGCAACACATCGGCCAAGCAAGATGCGCGCCGCGCCAAGCACTTACTTGAAGATGCCGAATCGGAAATCCGCACGCTCCGTGGGGAATGCAGTGGAGCAGTTGGCGAGACGAGCGCCACCCGCGGCTGGTGCGGGGGAGCAGAGGGGTTGGCGCAGAACGAAGGCGGAATATGGGAGTGCTTGTATTGAAGTGATGGCAGGAGAGAGGGGAGGGAAGCGGAGAGAGGGCAGAAGAGAATAACAAGCAACCACCAGCGACGCAAAAGTGCAGAAGTGACGCGTCAGCAGATGGGCACAACACCAAACCGCCAACCTCCCCGCCAACCTCCCTGCTTCCCTTCCGCCGTTTCCCCCCCCCCCCCCCCCCCCCCCCCCCCCCCCCCCCCCCCCCCCCCCCCCCCCGTTTTCCCGAGCCCCGCGCGCCCGCAAGTCTCGTCCCCGGACCCAAGAGCGCGGACGCGACGCGACAAGCACTCACCGGTCAGATTGCCCACAGCCGTCAAGTTTAACGGGCCGAACACCGGCGGAGGCCCCATGGGCGGGCCGCCAAACGGTCCGCCTGGGCCCCCCTCTCCGCCTGGGCCCCCCTGTCCGCCTGGGGCCCCCTGTCCGCCTGGGCCCCCCTGTCCGCCTGGGCCCCCCCGCACCCCTGGGCCCCCTTGTCCGCCGGCGCCGCCACCAGGAGGACCGAAATTAGGCGGACCTCCTCCGCCCTGTCCGCCGGGTCCGCCGAATCCGCCAGGCCCGCCGAATCCGCCAGGCCCGCCGGGTCCGCCGGGACCGCCAGGTCCGCCAGGTCCGCCGGGGCCTCCCCCAGGCGGCCGAGAGAGAACTGTACGTGCATGAGAGACACAGGAGGACGGGGAGCGGGAAAAATAGGTGTTGTGGGGAGGGGCCGGGAAACGTGGGGAGGAGGGGAGGGGAAATGTGCGGGAGAAGGAGAAATGCAAACAGACGCCGACGAGGCCGAAAGGGGTGATGCGGGAGATGGCTCGGAGACGCAACGGGGGAAGGACGGTTGGCAGGCTGCCTCGATTGCCCGGGATGGCTTACCAGGAGTGATTGCTAGGAGAAGAACAGCCAAAGCTGCTAGAGGTCTAGTGCCCATCGTGGTCGCGAGTATCTGGAGCTGAATGGGTGAGGGCAGAAGCGTGGATTCTAAACACAGCGTCAGAGTTGTCCGAGTCACACAAGTGAAGCCCCAAGAAAGGATGCTGCAGCAGCAGGACAACACGACCAGAATGTGGATGTGGTTGCTCGGTGCTGTGTTGTGTTGTGTGATCGTCCCCTGCACAAACTGCCAAGCTACAGTGCAATGGTTTGGTCGGTTCCAACTGCAGAAGCGGAAGAAAAATGTTGACCAAAACTGAGTGAGTGCTGTCCTGGCGCAACGCGGAAATCTTGAGAGTTTTGCTCAATTTCGCGGAATCTAGCTTTGTTTTATCTTTGCCACGCGTGCCTACGATCTCGCAAACCGCGATCTGTTTTATTTTTCCCACAAATTTCAAGTGAATTTTAGTTAAAGCCGGCAGCCCAAATTGTTCATCCTTTTAAAAGTTGACAGGGGTGTTTTCCTGGCCTTGGGTTGGGCGAGTGTTTTTGAGATTTCGTCAAAATCGCTTTTTTTTTTTCGCCAAACCCAGCCAGCCCGCGGATTTCCCTCTGGTGAGTGGAGTGGACTTCGAAAGTCCCAAATTGCAGGTGCGCTGCTTTTCAAAGCTTGAACACCCAGCTTCGTCAAGTTTTAAAAACTTGACGCGCGCGGTCCGCAATTTGGGACATGGGCTTTAAGTTAACAGGGTCACATGTACTGCGCTGCCCGCGGGCAAAAATAAAACCCATAGGGGCCTGGCATGCGTTAGGGATGCATCAACCTTAAAAAACATAGAGGCAATGTGTTTAGGGTTGATGCCTCCCTAACACATGCCAGGCCCAAACGGATTTTATGTCGTATCCCAGCCTCCGGTCAAGAAGTTGAGGTCTTGACACCAACTCATTCTAGGCATGCGATTGGTTAAAACAAAATCTAGAATGCATAGCACGTAGTTTTTGGACCAATCGTATGCCTAGAATGAGTTGGTGTCAAGACCTCAACTTCTTGACACCAACCTGGGATACGACCTTAGTTTTGCCCGCGGGCAGCACAGTACATGTGATCCACTAAACTTGCCATGGAAAATTGTGGTAACAATAAAACAGATCGCGGCTTGCGCGATCGTAGGCACGCCACGTGGCGATAATAAAACAAAGTGCGCTTCCGCGGAATTGAGCAAAACTCTCGGAAATCTTCGAGTGCGAGGCGGAAAAACAATAATGGATGGATGATTTGGCTCCGCGCGGAGCAGAGCGCTTTCTTTCGACACGTTTCCTGCAAAGCCTAGTTACAGAGTACACTGGCCTAGTCAAAATGACTCTGGATGAATGTCCTACATTATGGTGAATCAATTTATTTGTTAGTGGAATGAATTTTCTCTACATTCCTTACTATGTGCTTCAACACCGCATACAGCAGCAGCCGTTGCTAACGGGCTTCGCCAACCTTCGCGCGCACTGTTCACCAAACCATGCACCGCTGGCCCTGTCAGAATCACTGAGGCAGGAATGAATGCAGGAAGTTTGGTACAAGTAGGAAACCCTAACTTTGTGTATCCCCTAAGGTGTAACCCACTACAGCCTAGACAACATAAACATGCAATGTTTGACACACCCCCATAGGCGCAGTGGGAGACAACCACAGGGTCATGAGACCAGTCAAAGCAAAGCAAAGCAAGCTCAGGGTGGATCTCAAGGATACCACACAAATTCCGAGCACAAGTAAGTGGTCACAAGACCAGTTCACATGCAGGTTGATAATATAACAAGAGATACAGCAATCACAATCTAGCAAGAGTACACATGCAGGTATATATATATAGAGATCACAGTACAAGCAGAGTCAAGCAGTAAGCAAGTGAGGTCCAGCAGGCACAAGGCCTAGAAGAGTACAGAAACGCTGATGGTCACAAGGCTGAAGCGCCTTGGTGAACACATCAGCAGTGTTGGCCTGAGTGGCCACGTAACGCTGACGAAGCTGACCGCGCTGCTGCAGCTCTCGAGCAAGGAAGTAGCGCAGAGCGATGTGCTTCGTTCTGTGCTCCAGTCTGTGCTCCTCACACAAGGCAATGGCAGCCTTGTTGTCGACGTATAGCACTGGAGGAGAACGAGGCCGCTCTCCCAAGTCGGTCAGCAGGTAGGTCAGCCAGTGTAGCTCCTAGCCGCCATGGCTGTGGCGTAGATCTCAGCCTCACAACTGGAGCTGAGAACAGAAGAAGAGCGTGTAGAACGCCAAGAAACTGAGCCAGAGCCAAGACTGAAGGTGTAACCCTGAGACGACCGCTGAGTAGCCTGGTCGTCCGCCCAAGAAGCGTCTGAGTGTCCTGTGAGTACAACCCGGTCTCGCCCTCGAAGCACTAGTCCTATGCCCGACGTACTGCACAGGTAGCGCAACACCCTATGATCTGCTGCACCATGTGTGACTGAGTTAAGGTGATGGTGCGCCGTGCTCTGTCCCGGGTGATCCGCAAGCCAAGATAGCTTGTCAGTTCACCCAGGTCTGTGCACGTGTGTCTCTTCTGCAGCTCCGACTTCACGTGGGCGAGTGCCACAGTGTCAGCAGTGGCAAAGACCAAGTCGTCAACGTACACGAGGATGTCGAACGGCGGCAGCGAGGTTTCCGTGCGTAGAAACAACGACGGGTCTGCAGTAGAGGGAGCAAACCCAAGAGCCGCAAGTGTCGTCCTCAGTGTGTCGTGCCACTCACGTGGCGCCTGGCGGAGACCGTAGACCGGCCGCCGGAGGCTCCACTGGGTACCAGGAGGAAACGACCCAGTGAAGCCAGGAGGGCGGCGCAGCCAGATCTCCTCGTGCAGGCTACCCTGTAAGAAAGCAGTGCTGAAGTCAAGTGAGTGAAGCTCGTAGTCGCGCTGAGCGGCTATGTGCAGCAGCACCCGAAGAGTGGTCATCTTCGGGGTGGGGGAGAAGGTCTGGAAGAAGTCTACTCCCTCGCGCTGACTGAAGCCTCGAGCAACGTAGCGCGCCTTGAAGACAGGAGGAGAACCCGGCGGCCGCTTCACCCTGAAAATCCACATGCCACTGACGATGTTCGCCCCAGGTTGGGGAACCTCGTCAACGTAGGTGCCTGTGGACTTCCAGGAAGCCATCTCTGCGTCCATGGCTGTCTGCCACTGAGAGGAGTAGGGACCCGCCATCGCCTCTGCGTAAGAGCGCGGAGTCGGGATGTCTGGTGCATCCGGGTCTCCCTCAGGGGCAACTAGCATGGACACGAGGTGGGGCAAAGCAGCAGCAAAGCACTGGAACTCCTCCTGTCTGTCCACAAGGACGTCCGTGCCAAGAGCACACTCACCCCCGACGGACGGAGGACAGACAGACTCAGACTCAGCAACAAGGCTAGCGGCGTAGTCTAGACGACACCGGGCAGCAAAGTCAACAAGCTCAGCGACCAGAGCAGACGCAGCAGAGGACTCAAAGGTAGGGTCAGTGACAACAGTGGCGAGAAGACGCGTGACAGTGGGACTGGCAGCACGAAGGGAGTCAGACTCCGGGTCAGGAGGAGTAGGAAGAGAGGACGCAGGAGGAGACGGCAGAGGGACACGCTGGGGAGCGGTGGAGCGACGGAGCACCATCTGGTGAGTGCCTGGGACAGCAGGAGGACGCTGACGTGGGACACGACGACCAGTGCGAGCAGCACTGACAGGTGACGCAGAGCGAGACTCAGGTGACACAGGACGAGACTCAGGCTCACGACGCTCCGTAAGACCTCCTGTGGGACCAGTGTAAGGAGAAGGACCAGAGAGAGGCGAGGCAGGCGGTAACTGTGACTTCGACTGGACAGGTGGAGGACACTCTAAGGAGGGAGAAGGACAAGGAGGAGGAGTCTGACCAAGAACCTGCTGAAGGAGCGGCACGAAGTACGGTCGCGGCCGCGTAGGGTCTCCAGAACCAGCAGAGACATCAGCGGCAGGGTCCTCAGCACCAGCAGCAGCTCCAACTCCCGGGTCCTCAGCACCAGCCACAGCGCCAACTCCAGGGTCCACAGCAACAGTAGCAGCTCCAACGCCCGGGTCCTCAGCATCAGCCACAGCGCCAACTCCAGGGTCATCAGCACCAGTAGCAGCTCCAACGCCCGTGTCCTCAGCACCAGCATCAGTGCCAACTCCAGGGTCCGCAGCACCAGCAGCAGCTCCAACGTCCGGGTCCTCAGCACCGGTCACAGCGCCAACTCCAGGGTCCGCGACACAAGGAGCACCACTTCGAAGGCTACAGCGCCGCGTGTACCACTCTCGGATCCGCTGAAGGGAGGGGAGCTCCTGGCCAGGAGGGGAAGCACTAGAACCTCTCCTGAGGCTGCAGTACTGTAAGTACCTCTCCTGCAGCTGCTGCAAGGAGAGGGCTCCTCCAGGTGGAGCACTCCCAGGCTCAGCACCTCCAGACTCAGCACCCCCAGACTCAGCACCCCCAGGCTCAGCACCTCCAGGCTCAGCACCCCCAGACTCCGCACCCCCAGGCTCCGCACCCCCAGACTCCGCACCCCCAGGCTCCGCACCCCCAGGCTCCGCACCCTCAGGCTCAGCACCCTCACGCTCAGCACCCGCAGGCTTAGTACCCCAAGCAGGACGAGAGTCGACAGCTACCTCGAGAGGCTCAACCGGGTCTACCTGGGACACACCTGAGGGAGCAGCACCCTGGGGGGGGAGGGGGTCTAGTACAGCAGCACCTGGAGCAAGGAACAGAGGCGGGGGGGGGGGAGCGGGGCAGTGCGGTAGGGGAAGAGGCGGTAGTAGGGGACGGACTCGTCGAAAGTGACGTCCTGAGAGGACAGGACACGGCGCGAGGTGACGTGGTAAAACTGCCAACCAGGCGCGTCCGGGACAAAGCCAAGGAAGACACAAGGAACAGGGCGAGAGGAGAGCTTGTCCGCGGACGTATCGCGAACAAAAGCTCGGGATCCCCAGTCCCGAAAACGCGACGCATCGCCAACCTCTCCCGTCCAACGCAGTGTCGGGGAAGTCTCCGGCAAGGAGACACGGGGCCAGAGGTTGAGCTGATGCG